TTCGTTTATATACTCGTACCAAGATATTTCAAGTTTGCATACGTTTAATACATTTACGATGATGTATGCAATCTTCGCGATAAAACAAAAAAAATTTAAAGAGACGTTAACATAATGTTTGAATTTAAGATTTAAATGCGAGAGTTAAGGAAGGCAATTACATTTTCAATGGTATAATAATATTTACCGTTAGCTATCTGCATTTATGGAATTTCGGAAAAGCTTGCAGTTTCGGAAATATACGGTTCCACAAATTAAAATTTTGCAGTTGGAGATGCAAAAAACTTTTCTTCTAAGGAAATGAACCATTAATTAATGTCTAAAAGTTGCTGAAATTTCAGATTCGTAAAATCTGCGATCTAGAAGAAAAAGGTTTTAAAAATTTGAGAAAAATGGATCAAAGTTTTACCGGAAATTTTGTTTTTTTACCGCTTAAATTTGATATGGCGCGGTAGAACAAGCTCTACGCTACTTCTCACAATTTTGTATGTTTACAAAATTTCTAAAATTTTTGTGGTTTCCTTACAATAAAAAGTCAAAAACTGGTGTTTCCAGGGTTTTGGAAGACCATAACGTTTAAAGGGAGGGTGATAGATAAAAACTTTCTTTCACGAAAATAAGCTTCTAGTAAAGATCTATATACATATGAAATTTAAATTTCGGCTTTCTATCTTCAAGGTCCACGAATGGACGGACAAGCTCTTTTTTTCGAAATTTTCTTGGAAAAGTGCTAAAAATTAAACTTAAAATAATTTTTTTTTACATGAAACTTCATATACTATTTGCAGCCTTTCTACAGTTTTTAAAGTTTAGGCTCTTGTTCCAGTGATCAGAAAATAGCTTAAAATATTAAAAAAGCCTCATAAAAATAGACAAAAGACGTTTTTTTCTGTTCATATGTTTACCGCCTTATTCATTTGTTATATTAAAATGGTGTTGCAAAAACGTACTTCAAATAAAAAATTATGTACTTCAAGTTTTCTTACTGTAAGTTCAAATATGATCATAAATTCGTTCCAAGCTTTTCACGTCAATATTTTTAAATAATTCTTTTGAAAGGAGTTTTCCAATTTAGATTTGATCAAATTAATAGAAGACAATACTATGTGCTAAAATGGAAAGGCTTGGAATAAATTTTTCAAGTTTCCAACAATATATTCGATTGACTTCAATTAAAATGCCAAAATTACTCTCAAAATCGTCTACTATAAAAATTCTATGCAAACAGATTTCATCTGGTATCGTCAAAGCAGAAAGATATGACTCCGATTGGAGCCAAACAACAGCCCTGAGTTTTAAAAGAAATACTTCTTACATAAGTATACACTAATAAATTTCTTACATATACACAATTATTTAATAAATTTTTTTGTTTTTTATTTTGGATGGAACTGTGTCTGATTTTATTTCAGTACGTTTGAAATCATGCAGTTTGTCTATAGGGGAAACTGAGATTTTTATGAAAGAAATTTTAATTTTTGCATTTTGCAAATTTTGCAAACTTTTCAAATGAAATGTGGATTAAAGTTTAATACATCATCATGCTGATAACATAAAATCTATGTTTTTTAAATAAATTATATAATGGTTTCCTAATACAAAGACTATAATTTTAATAAATTAACTTTGTCTTTAATGCATATTATAGAGAGTTACGTTATTTGTACGTTAGTATTAGAGTATGCTTTTTAAAATTAATTTAGCATGAAAATAAGAAAAAAAGTTTCGGTTGTTGAAAAGTGCTGTGAATTATTCCTGTAATAATAGTGTAGTAATGCAATTTTAATATATTTAAACTAGTTTATTAATATTTAGTATATATCTGACAAAAACTTAATACAAGCATTTATTATAGCAAAATAAACGCCACTTAGCCAACAAAAGTGGCATTCAGTTAATAGTTGTAACTAAATTCAGCATCGTTTATAGATGAAGGAAAGGAGAAGGCAAAGTAATAATTTTAATAATATATTACATAGTAAGTTTGAAGTTGAAATAAAATCAACTGTTGCTCAATTCATAATTATCTGCTGTGAAATTCGTATAGCCAAAGATAATTTTCGTTTATAAACAAACATAGATGTAATTTTTATATGTCTTTTGTTACTAAGTTTTGGATAAGAAAATTTTGCATTTAAATTAATGTGCTTTGATAAGAGATGTATTAAAAAATCTCGGTCCCTATTCAAAATAAAGAAAAGCTAATATAATTGATGATTTTTATTCTATATGTGAAAATAAAATGAGATAGAAAGATAGAAATTTATTGTTGTTAAAGAATTAAAAACCATTAAAAATTAGTGGACATGAGGATAATGCAGTATAGCATCTTATTCAATCGATTATGTTGTGGGTCTCTATCGATTTATGCTTGTAAATTATACTTGTATCTGAGATGCTTATTGAATAATTGCTAAATTTATATATCAGTTATGTGATATTTATGTGTAATGAACCTATATGCCTAATTTCTAGTCAGTCATAAAACAGTCTTATAAGTAAAACATATTTCTATTTTAGTACTTCAATGTCCCATTTAAATTACGAACTTTGTTGAAAAATAGAACAGATTACCTGCTTAACTAACCTATAAAATTTTCAAATTCAAAGAAATTTTCTTCTATATGTATGTATATTTTTATTTCTCAATAGAATCTTCTAAACATATGAAATAATAAAATTTGAAAGTAATTGTAGGACCTTATAAGTCATGAAGATGTTGCTATCTCTATATGACGAGCTTTTTGGACTTATTATTTTTTTTTGTAATAGATCACACAAAAAACTAACGTCGATCTAACTTTTTATTACTTAACCTAACTTAGTTACTTTAGAAAAAATTATATATTATAAATTATAAATTATAATTAGAATATGAGTGGACATTATTTAAATATTGATTTTAATTTTAAGGGAGTATGATTTTCATGATTTTAGAATTAATTGATTGTTGGCAGTTTTTTAAGTTGCCACACAAATTTTTTGTTTGCTTAGTTAAATATTCTTTTATTATATTTTTATTTGTAATATTTTATCATTTAATTACAGTGAATCCCGGTTTTCTGCTTCCTCTATTAGCGTTTTTAACAACACTAAGCTTTGTGATCCCATTTTGTTTCCCATTTACTTACATGTGTAAAAATTCTTCTAAACGCATTTCTTTAAAAGTAAAATTTCACTTTAGTGCACCAAATTCTGAATGATTTTTTTCGTTTTCATATGGAAAAATTTCTTTTTAAGCATTATTACAAACCCTCCTAGAAACGAAAATTTTTAATAAAATTGAACTATATTATGCTGGCATTATTTGCCAATAATATTTGTCATTTACATACATATTATATGATTTAGTACATATTTTTACAATAAAATATTTTCTGTGTCACCAATATGTGATTGAATATCGCACATAAATTAAAAATTTGAATATGTGTATACATTGGTATACATGTATATGTATATTTGTATATTATTACAAATTTGTTTAATTTCATTTAACAGCCCATTTAAGGCAGTTAAGAGACTTCAATTAAATGCTTCAGTTATACAGCTCAAATATGTTTTTTAATTGCTTTTTTGACATTAATTTGACTGCCGAATTTTTAGTACAATCGAATCAAAGTGATTTTCTTCAAATTATCCCAAATAATACAATAATTTGGCGTTAATGTTAAATTAAGTATAGAATTAATTTCTATCGCCGGTATGAATATTTTTCTGCTATATAATCTAGATAACTGAAATATTTTGTAATATAATTTGGCCTGTTTAAGCTACATTACGTTCAGAAATATAATATTATATAATTAATATAGTAATAAATATAATTTTGAAATTTATTAATTCATTTTCCATTTTTCTAAATATGGAAAAAAATAAAAAAAAAATAAATTTAACATTGGGACCAATAAAAAGTTTAACCAATAATTTAATTAAACATGCTGTATAAATACTTGAAATATTAATTAAATATAAACAAAAAAATAAATAAAGAATAATAATATTTTAAATGCTAGTATAATATACAAACATAACAGTTAAAGTTCAAAAATGAAAGTGATGATTCCAATTATGTACATATTATCTAATATAATATATAGTGATCCTTCCTAAAATGTTTATATTTTTAAGTAAGAAAAAGTATATAGTGGAAAATAACCTTATATAGGAGCTGATTTTATATAATTATATAATAATGTATTTATATAATAATTTGTTAAACAATTATTAAGGATGTATAAAATATTTTTCTTTAATTAAAAATTCTTTATATACATATATCCCAAACAAAATTTATAATATATAGAATTTTGAATATGTTCTTTACATCAAAATTATATACTGTATCAGAATTTATTCAAAAGATTCAAATTTAATTTTTACATTTATATTAATTAATTACAGGGAAAACTAAAATTTTCCATAAAAAAATAAAACAAAAGAATTATTATTATTAATATATAAGTATATAATGACAATTTCGAAAAATTTAAAAGAAATAATGTAAATTTAAAAACGAATTATATTATAATTTAATTTTGATCATAATATATAAAATATAGAAGTAACTTTAATATTAAAGTGATGATAATTTTACAATTTAAATCAAATTTTAAAATAATAAATAAGTTGTATATTAATATTTTATTTGTCGTAATATTTTAATTAATTAAAATAAATTTTATTTTTTTTTAACTGTACAAAATTCGAATTTGTAATAAACCTAAGTAAAATATCAATTTTAAAACTTACAATTTGTGAGTGTGATTTAAAATTTATAGTAATTTAAAACCATAATATAACTAAACTAGCTAAAATTTTAACTATGTGTTAAATACATAATGTACACATATATATATTTAAAAAAATGTGCAATTAATACATTATATGCTTAAGATCGGGTAAATTTTAAAATTCAATTTTTCCAAATAATTTGCACTTTATCGTATGAAATAATACTGCATAATCAAAAATTAAAAATATATTTAATTAAAAAAATTACAAACTAAATTTTAAGGTTCAAAAAAAAATAAATGAAATAAAAATTTGTATTTCATATGTATGGTGAATATTAGAAAAATTTTCTACAAAAATGGATTTATCAACAGCATATCGTTATAATCAAAATATGATGGAATATTACACATGTAAGCGTCTTATAATAAAAGTAATTAGATATTAGATTAATTTTTAATTTTTTTTGTACTTATTTATGTAGTTAAAACAAAGAAGTACATATTTGTTTTAGAATTGTCCAAAATAGTATTGTCAATACAGTGTTGTCCAGATAATCTGAACACATGATACTTTGACAACGAAGTAATTCAAACATTGATTCTGGCGTAATTGGTGTTTCCACGACCAAACATAATCTGGACAACAATCATAATTTTGATCTGAGTGATGTGCGTTATAATGCCTGAGTAATTTTGTTTCATAGAAGTATTAAAATTTCAAGTGTGAGACTTTCAGTCTTTTATGCATTGTGTATGTATGTATGTACGTTTTCACAATAAGCAAATATAGTGTTGTTCTTATAATTTTCAATTTTGGACTTTGTTTCTATAAATGAGTTACATATATTAGGAATATGTGAGAATATGTGATTAAAAAACATGAACCATAAAAAATACCAACAATCTTTAAATTAGCAACACATTCGTGGAGCGATTTTTATTGAGTAAAACTGTTTTTTTATTAAAAGGTAAAATTTTAATAATGTGATTTAATGTTTTTATATTGATTTAAAGAAAATTGAAAAAAAAAAAAACAATTCTTTTATGATAAAGAAGCGTTTTTCTTTTTCTCGACCAAAAGTAAATATTTCAAAAACTAATAAAACTATAAATATAAAATTTTGTATACATCTGTCCAATTATATTCTACACATGCTCCAAAAATTATAATGGGATAGCTGCACCGGTTCGGGTGGCTGCCATACAACTCCAACAGCAAATTTTTTATATTCGGAAAAATAATAAGGTCAGATTCATGAAACTTGGCAGTCATGTGTCCAATTATAGGTCAAATATTTTTGTGAAGTTTTGGTGGAATTGCTATAATTGGACAGGTTCGAGTAGCTCCCATACAAGTCTAAAAACTTATTTTAAATATTTGGAAAAATAATAAAGTCAAATTCATGAGACTTGGCAGTCGTGTGTCCTATTATAGGTCAGACATATTTCTAAAGTTTTGGTGGGATTGCTTGACAGGTTCGAGTACCTCCCATACAAGTTTAAAGGCTTATTTTAAATATTTGGAAAAATAATATAGTCAGATCCATGAAACTTGGCAGTCATGTGTCCAATTATAGATCAAATATTTTTGTGAAGTTTTGGTGGAATTGCTATAATTGGACAGGTTCGAGTAGCTCCCATACAAGTCTAGAAACTTATTTTACATATTTGGAAAAATAATAAAGTCAGATTCATGAAACTTGGCAGTCATGTGTCCAATTATAGGTCAAATATTTTTGTGAAGTTTTGGTGGAATTGCTATAATTGGACAGGTTCGAGTAGCTCCCATACAAGTCTAAAAACTTATTTTACATATTTGGAAAAATAATAAAGTCAGATTCATGAAACTTGGCAGTTGTATGTCCGATTATAGGTCAGATATATTTCTGAAGTTTTGGTGAAATTGCTTAACAGGTTCGAGTAGATCCTATACAAGTCTAAAAGCTTATTCTTAATATTTGGAAAAATAATAAATTCAGATTCATGGAACTTCGCAGTTGTATGTCCAATTATAGATCAGATATATTTCTGAAGTTTTAGTGGAACTGCTTGACAGGTTCGGGTACTTGCCATACAACTCCAAAAGCTAATTTTAAATATTTGGAAAAATTATAAGGTCAGATTCATGAAACTTGGCAATCGGATGTCCAATTAAAGGTCAGACATGTCCGTGAAGTTTCTATAGAATGATTTCGCAGGTTCGAGTAATAGCTACACAATAACGAAAGGTGCAGGGTATAATTCAATCGGTTTATACCGACTGAAACGTTTTTACTTGTTTTTCTTTTAAATTTTGAACTTTCGTTATCAAATCAATAATTGAAGTACATGATTTTTTTATGAAACCACATTGCCTATTTAATAGAAGTTTGTACTTATCTAGTTGTTTAAAAACTATTTTTTCTAATATCTTGGTTTAATTTTTCTAATATCATAAAATTTTATATGTAAGTTTATTTCGACCATTGCACGGATTAATCAACTTTTGGGATATATCAAGCCTCGGGAACTGCACTTCTTAGCGGGCCTGTTTTACATTTTTGATCATTTTTAAAAAAATATTCAACCAATTTACTTGAAATTTCACATACAAGTTTCGCGCGACCGTTTCCAAAACTTCCTGAGTTTTGGAAGAAATCAGGCATCAGGAACTGGACGTTTACTACGGGCCAAATATACATTTTTGTGTATATAAAGAGAAATAATCAACCGATTTTATTGAAATTTAATATTTGAATTTTTCGTATTGTTTTAAATGAATATATATATTTTTTGCAAAGTTGAGGGCATGAAAACTGATCTCCGGGCCGATTTTACATTTTTCACAATATCTACGGAACAAATTAATGGAATTTCTTGAAATTGATCTGGTTATTACCAAAACTAATTGGCAAGCATTTCAGGGAATTCGAGTAGCACAAAGCAAAACTCTACTAAGAGCCAAATTTACATTTTCCTACTAACCACATCAGATTTTTTTGATATGCAGTCAAAAAACATGTCATTACCACTTTTTGTCATATTAAGACATATCGGTTCTTCTAGCAATAATAAATTCATAGTAGCAAAATCTATTTACGAGATTTTTAGCAATTACCTGGCAGTATAAGATTTATTGATTTTAACAAAGAATTAAGAGATTTTCTAATTTTCGTTATAAGTAAATAGCTTGGCATTTTGAAGTATTAGGATCTTTTAATTTCTCAATTTTAAAAAAAAGATCGATTTTATTTAAAAATTGCTGCGCCTTTAATTTTTTTGGTTATCGTAGCAATACTTCACATTATTAAAACTATGATAAACTTGAAAAGATAAAATTCTTAAGGAATTAAAGTTGTAACAAAGCATACTAAAAACTCAAAAACAATATATGTACATGTGGAATATACATTTTACACAGAAATATTATTAATATTTAATTTTTAATGTACATAGATAAAATTATTATATATACCCAGTATGGTTATGGTAATTTTCTATTAATTTAAAATTAAAACTTTTAGATTTTCAAAGACTGTTTTCATTTGTAATAGTTACTTTTTAAAAGCATTATGCAAATATGTCTATTTGTTCCACGAATTCTTATGTACTGAAATTCACAATCTGGGTACCCATAACGAACAAAGATTGTAAAATCTAGTTTCTTGTAACGTAAAAAATTTAATCTAAATTTAATATTTTGGAACCTATTTTCAACTCCTTTAAAAAATATAATTTTATTATTCAATACAAGTATTTTATAATTAATATTTTCTAATCAAAATTTTCGGTTATAATAGCAACGAACTTTTGTAGTTGATCAGAAAAGCTTAGGTCGAGCAGAAATTGATAACTCACAAACAACAACGTAATGACTTTGAAACGTATGCATTTTAAAATGAGATTTTGAAATATCTGACGAAAAACACAATTTCAAACAGTTCGTAAATTTTTTAATCATAGCATATTTATAGTAATATACAATTTTTAGTGACAATAATTTCGCTAGTTTTAGTGGTACAATTGCTTGTGCTAATTTAAATTACGGTAATGCATGATTTTAGCAGATTTTCGATTACATATTTTTTTTCGAACTTTTACCGTATCCCTTTATTCCTTATTATCTCTGCTCTTCAAATGCGAAAAATGCAAATTTTAAATAAATTAAACTTCGTCCAAATTAAAAACAAATTGAAAATTTTGTAAATGCAATGCAAAACGTCAGAAATTATTTCTCCTATCATAAGAAATTTTAAAAAATATCGAGCTGTTAAATTAAACCTTCGAATTTATGCAAACTTAAACAAGTTTTCCGTTTGTTACCGACTAATTGGTTATACTATAAAGAGGTTTAGGAATTATGGCAACAAATTTCGTCTATTCAGTTTCCGGCGCAAATGCTCTGTGGTAAGGAAATGTAAAAAAAACTACTTTAGCGAGATATCGGTCTGTGTGTATCTGTATATTTCTGAACCGGCTTTGATGAAAATTTATGTTTGAGTTTACTTTGGTAACGTCAGGAATTGTAGGGAAATGTAAATAAACTAGGTTTAGAGCGTAAATAAACTAACTGTGTGTTCAATTGTGTATCTCAAATTCGACTTAACCGATTTTGATAAAATTTTATATGTGAGTTTATTTTGGCTATGGAACGGATTGATCAACTTTCGAGGTATATCGGAGCTCGGAAACTGGACCTCTTTCCGGGCCAATTTTAAATTTTTGCATATATAAAGAGAAACAATCAACCAATTTCCGTGAAATTTAATTTGTAAATGCGGAATATTAAAACAATGAATCTATAAATTTTTTGGAAAGATCAAGACCGGAAACCGAACAGAAGGCTAAGAGTTTCTTGAAATTTAATATTTAAATTGTAGTTGTTGCCAAAACTAAATGGTGAAGTTTTCAGAGAATTCGGGTGGCCAAAGCGAAATTCTGCAAAGAGTCAAGCTTGTATGTTTCTAGGCATGTCAACTAAAGGCTTACTAGTGTTCTTGAAATTGTAAAGAAGGGTTTAAAACGCATTTTTATAATCTAAAGCAATAAAACTTTATCTTTTAAGAATTATATGTAAGTGTATTAAAAAATTTTTACGGCTTTTCGATTTGGCAATTTAATATCAGCCCTAAATTCTTACTTTCTAGCCATCATACGAAAATTAAAATATACTTATTTTTTATCCAAAACTACATAATTTTCTTACACATAAGAAAATTATTCAAACTTCATTTACTTTGTTAATCAAGCTGATAATTTTAAAGTCGTTAGAGGTGTTTAATATTAAAGTGAAAGTGCTTTAAATTTTTCCAGACTTCGTTTCTGCAATTTGAAATTCTATTACTTGTACTCGAAAAAAATTAATTTGAAAAATAAACATACAAAAATACTAATACTTTGATACCGAACACATGAAATATCCCTTCCTAACA